GCTGGCTGAGCCAGTGGGGGGGGGGCATTGCGGGCAAGTGCTGTCACTGCAGAGCCATGCCCTACGCCCCTTGATCCTAGAGGTAAGTGGGGTTGGGGGCTGTGGGGCAGGTCTGGGGAAGATGGTTGGAGGCTGAGGGAGCAGGGGGTGCTGCTGGCCCCAGGCAGCATACCACAGCCAGGTGAAGGCAGGGGTGCAGGGCCAGGAGGTGAGGGCAGGAGTGCTTTGTGGGCAAGTGATGTGGGACGCGGTGTGGTGGTCCCAGCCCTGTGCAGGCTGCACACATGCTGCCTGGCCAGCTGCCTGGGGAAGGGGGAGTCTTGCATGTAACCAGCTGCACAGCTCTGTGGCTGGCTCTGCAGCAGCAGTGGGGAATGGGGATCAGGGGATTCGCATGCAGCAGCTGCTGCCACTTACCTATGGGGCTGTGCCAGCGGTGACAGCCGCTGCATACAGAACCTCCCTGTGCCACCATGGAGCCATCCATGCCCAGAGCTGTGCAGCCAGGCGCAGAGCGGCAGTGGTGGCAGCCAGGCAGCACACAGTCATCCCCACCACCATCTTGCGCCGCACAGCAGCTGCTACACTGCCGCTGCTGCCCTGCACCTGGTTGCACAGCTCCGAGGCAACACGGGCAGGTTTTGTACACAACAACCCCCACAGATAAGCAGCAGTGGCTGCTGTGTGCCAGTGGTAAAGGCCGATGCGTACAAAACCCCTGTACCGCTGCGGAGCTGTACTTGGAGCAGGGCGGCAGTGGCAGTGTGGTGGGTGCCGGGTACACAGCGGCCATCACCACTGGCATGGCCCCATAGGTAAAGAGTCTGCCGCATGTGAGCCCCTCCTGCCCCCCCCAGCCACCATCCCTCGCCGCCGCTGCAGAGCCGGCCACGGAACTGTGCAACTAGCCACATGCGAGCCTCCGCCTCCCCATCCCCTGGGCAGCTGGCTGGGCGGCATGTGTGCGGGGCCCGCACATGGTGGGCACCACCACTCTACACCCCGCATCACTTGCCTGCAAAGCCCCCCACAGAGGGGTACCCCTGCCCTCACCCCCTGGCCCTGCACCTGGCTGTAGTGTGCCGCCTGGGGCCGGCAGCATTCCCCGCTCCCTCAGCCCCCTTCCCCAGCCCTGCGCCACAACCCCCAAGCCCCACTTACTTCTAGGATCCAAGGGCGAAGGAAGAGTCTGAGCCTGAGCCCAGCCTTGGCTGACTCAGAGGCTCAGGCCCCACCCTTCCCCCTCTCCCCCACCCACTCCAGGTAGGGCTGGGGCTTTCTCGCCCTTTCTGTAATCAGCTCTTGCAGGCTGGAGTTGTGCCAGCCTGCAAGAGCTCTTTACAAAAGCGGAGAATCTGCAGATTTCTCTGCTGAAAAGGGAAATCGGCGTTTTCTCCAATTTTAAAAACAAGGAATCTGTGATTTTGTCTGTGGGAAACGGAAAACCCGAATCCCTGGTTATTAGTCGAAGTGGCTGTCACAAAGAACATTGACTTGTAAAAAATATCTCTTGCAAGTTCAGCCTAAAGTAATCATGTTTAATATCATTGGTAATAGATTAAAGGAAAGAGAAACAAAATAGTCTGTGCAGTGAATTTTAAATAATATCTGTGCGATAATCAAGTTACAGTGACCAAGTATTATAATATTGTATGAATACTTTTATATCTAAATCAGTAGCTTAGAATATACTTTTCTAGAGAATAAAGTCTTTCAAGAGAAAAGTTAGGGAAAAATAAGTTCTAAAATGCTGTCCTTTGGAGGGACAGCATCTTAGAACTTAAGATGTCCCAGCATCTTTAAATTAATAGTACTAGAGGTAAGGCATGATACCTCTAGTATGATAAAAAGGAGTACTTTTTTAGACTAACCTATAAATATATTTTCCCTGTGTTTTTACTGAATTTTGTTTTTTCATTTCTAATGTTAAATCACCTTTCTGTGGTGTTTGTTTGTTTGAACCATGATAGCAGAGCACTAGCACTACTTTCTACCTAAGTAGCGTCATCTTAGAGACTGTTTTATTTTAAATATCTATAGTAACAAAAAGGGAAGGAAAGGAATAGTCTAGTCTAAATGAGACTCTTGTTGATATTAATTAGCATGTGTATAGAGGGACTATGATTAGCTATAGAGAACTTAAAGCATATATAGGAACTTAAAGCATCATTTTGTTGTTGAGAGAAACTTCAAATATTTCATCCGTTAGGCAAAAAGATCAATCAAGATGACTTTTTTCCTAAGACATAGTTAATTACCAGCATTAATAGGATTTTTTCACATTGCATCTGAAATACTTTCAAAATGTTACAGATGAGAAGCTTCCGAATGTTTCATGATGACAGCATGAAATCATTCTTCCGCAGGCTTAGTTTCACTCCTGATGGCTCCTTGCTACTTACTCCAGGTATGTGAAAGCAAGTACTGTGCATGTGGGGCAGCCCATAGGGCTTCTTCCTCACATAGGAGGCGTCTAACAGTTGCTGATGCTTTGGAGAATACTACTGTGAATATGGCCAGCAGTTTTTTGTTCTGGTGACATGCTAGTGGTGATGATGCAGCCTGGGGTTTCCTCTGACACTAAATTCAGCGTACTTTGTCAATAAAAATTTTCCGTTAGTCTGTTTGTACACTGATCTGAAAGTTCACTGAGACCACTTTCCAAACAGTTTGGCTGAGTTCAATCAAAGGAAAGCTTTACAGTATTTGTTTGGTGTATTGTTCTTGCATGATGAAACTAATGTATTCTATTTATTGGCTGAGAAGCTCCTACCATCAAGCCTGCAGCTTGTGAGAATTTCTCTCATGTCATGTTAAAATCTGCTTGCAGCTTACACGAAACACCTGGTATATTAACAAAGCTGCACTGTTTAAAAAAAAAAAAAAAAAAATCAGAAATAAGTAGTTACTCTTGACTCTTATTCTGAGGGTTTTTTTTGATATGTCCTTGTTCTTAAAAGCATTCTGCACTATTAGTTAGAATAACACTGCAAGAAGGGTTTTCCAGTATAGGCATTCCCAATGCAGATGTCTGGAAACATCAAAAAGAAGCCTGTGTTAAGGAAGTACATAAAGGAAACAAAAGTAGTATTAAAGAAATATATGTGATCACAAAAATCTGGCCTGCTGACGCAAGGCTACTTCTTGGGAAATAAAACGTTTATGAATATATGCTGTATGTTCAGTACCTTTTGAATTGATGAGTAACAGTTTAATTGTTTTGTGTTTTCTCAGCTGGATGTGTTGAATCAGGAGAAAATGTGACAAACACTACATATGTTTTTTCCAGAAACAATCTTAAAAGGTAGGGTTTAATAAAACCTATTTCTTTATTATCATTACAAAAAATAATAATTTTTAATGCCATTTTAAAAAATATTTCTTATTCCTAATAGGCCCATGGCTCACCTTCCCTGTCCTGGCAAAGCAACACTAGCTGTTCGTTGCTGCCCAGTCTACTTTGAATTGAGAACTGCACTTACTAAAGGTAGTGTAAATCCTTCAGAGAACATTTTTTACAGCAAATGTATTAAAAAGGCAAACTTGGGTATAATGTTGCAGGTCATACTATTTTATGTCCTACCTTTTGTAACATTCCTTCAAGAAAGCTTTTAAGTTGTGGTGCAACCCTGTTTGCTGAGTCTAAGAACTTTAATTCACTTTAAGTACCTTTTTAAGTGGCTTTTGGTATAGTGGCTGAATGCTCTCAGTTGGCCTTTGAGGCTACAGAAAAACTATTTAGCATTTTTTCTCCAACTTTTAAACTGGTTGGTGTGAATAAATGTAAATAATTTGGCTCAGCATTAAAGAACCATGTAGTAAAATATTTTTTTAGTCTTGGTTTCCCACCTCCTGGAGCCACCCCAAAATTGCCATCATTTGTCACAGTTTTGTGATGTTTATTCAGGGGAAGCCAAGACTGAAGTAGCACTAGGCTTGTTGGTTAGAACTGGATCATGCTGGCATAGCTGTGATGGGGATGACTGAGCATACTGCACATAAGTGGATGGATGCAGGAAGTAAAATCTTGCTCGTATTCAAGTTAATGAACTCAGGATTTCACTTAGGACTTTTAATGAGACTGTTCACAATCTTGCTTAAAAGGCACAAGTTTCCTCATTTCTAATTATCTAGCTCAGCTTAGTGTCTATTACTGAATTGTTTAAAAGCGTGAACCATTTTTTTCACAAAGTCTTCAGAGGCACTGTTCTCTTTTTTGGAGAATGAGATCCTCTCCATAAATTGTCAATCACTCTTTATTGGGCACATGTTGTTACTCTTAGGGCAAAATTTACACTATCAGATGCCTAAAGTGAAAAAATCAGGCCATTCATTTAAAAGGGGAGCTTCTGTAACCAACACAGAAGTGACTGGGAGTTCTATATTTTATCACTGCTGAGGAGGCCACTGGGTGCTTAATTTCAAGGATTTGGAAAACTTTGCTAGGGTGGCGCTCTTTTTCTCTTTCACTTAGGAGCAAACTCTGAGTCTGAAAAACTAGCCAATAGTTGAACATGAAAATTATAAAAAGAACCATAAATTTATCATCTTGAGTGGATTTTATATAGCAACTGTGTATTTTTATAAATTTAGCATGACTGATTAAAGTAAGTTTTTTGAGATTTGTTCACACTTGAAGTAATAGTGGAAAAGATGTTTAGCTACAGGGCTTTGATTTGCACTTGTAATTTGAAAAAAAACACCAAAAAAACAAATAAACCAAAAACCTCTCCCAACAATTTATCTTGTAAGGTGAGACAAAATAAGAGTAACTTAATAGAGTAGTTTTTCCAGAAATTCATGAGAGTCTGAAAATGGTGGTTTATAATGAAAATGTCACCTTTTTAACCACAGTTTGGTTACTGATTCACTCTAAGGATAAAAATTATGTTCAGACTCAGGGTAACTATGTCAATTTAAGCAGTATCATTTAAGTGAGGCAGTGGTCTGTATGAGACTTTTCCCAATGGTGTTTTCTTTGTGTTCTAGATGAAGTCAGTCAGAAGTCGGTTCCTGGTCTAATAAATTTTCCTTATCGGTTGGTATTTGCTGTTGCTTCAGAAGATTCTGTGCTTTTATATGATACGCAGCAGTCCTTTCCATTTGGTTATGTGTCTAACATACATTACCATACCCTGAGTGATATTTCATGGTAGGTGACTGACAGATTTGTCATGTTTGGGTAGATTGTTGTTCTTATCGCTTTTGAAGTTTTGAGGTTGCTCATGCTTCTTCCTTTTATGTCAGGTTGTTTTATGTAATCTATGGTACTTAAGTAATTGTCATTACCATGTTTTTCAGTGCCTTTCATTCTTTTTAAAATAATTTTATCCCAGGAGCTATGGAAGTGTGCTTTTTATATGCTTTATAAATGGGGAGCAGAGGCACAGAGAGACTGCAGCCTACACCTACAAAGGGGCTTGGGTGTTGCAGTGCCTCAAGAGAGAAGGGGCAGTAACAACTCCTGTAGCTCTGTTTTGCATGGAGCTCATTCTATTGATATGCTTTGAGCTTGTTCTTCTGGATCCGGCTTCTCAGGGTAGATCAGCAGAAGAAAACATAGTTGGAGGATCTTGATCAGTCTTATGCTTGATCTGGATAACCAATTGCTCAGTCCAGACAGGAGGGAGGCAGCCTTGCTTGTGCACAGAATCAGAACCTTAGCTTTCTAGTGAATTTCACAGGTGGAGCTTTGGTGCCTATGGGATTATCTGGGAGGAGGAAGGGTGTTAGAGGATCACTGTCCTAAACTTAGGCATCTAAATTCTGCCAAAGGTCTACTTAAGGTGCTTGGTTGTCTTGTGGATCTTGGTCTAAGTGAGGGCTGTCTAACTTCCAGGCAGGTGAGGGGCATATGTGAAGCAGGCCACAATACTAAAGGCTGCACAAGATGTGGGCCATAGACCAAGAGCTGCTTTTTGTTGGCTGTGTGGACAGTTGCACCCTCCCCACCCCTGGATCTGTCCTGCCACATGGGCCCCTCCTTATTATGCACACAGTGCAGTGCAGACAGCCCACCTTTATCCCCCAGCATGCAAAGTACCCTTCTCTCCCAGCCACTTTCTCACCAGCAGTGCAGTCAGCTTGGCTGCACAAATAGCTCAGCCTCCCATTATGCATGCAGCATGGGTACCTTCAGCCTCCCACTTAGGTACCTGAGACCTCTCCTGCTGTGCTGTCCCATCGCCAGTAGCGGGGGCAAGAAGTAGAAATTAAAGGAAGGTGGGAGAGCCCAAAGAACCCCAGCTGCAGTGGCAGGAGCAACAGTGGGCAGGGGAGGGGTGGGGCAGTGGTGGCTAGTCAGGAGCCCACAGGATGCGTGGTAACCCTTTGGGTTCCCTGCTCAAAATGACTTGCCTAGGTCATTTAGGCAGTGAGAGTCTGTGTTTCACATCCCAGACTCTGTTCCCCAGTCATGGGACCTTCCTTCCTCCCTGGAGCCTCTATTGCAGCTGGTACCCTTCTAGCAGAAGGCTTCTTTCAGAACATGTTGATGGTGATCAGATACTCTGAAGGTGAAGTTTGCAGGAGAATGTGAGAAAATCCAGGTGCTTAACTCATCAGTGAGTTGGTGATTGTTACCTGTGCAAAGGGCAAGAGGTGCAGTTGAGCACAGTTCTGCTGCAGCATAGGTCAGGACAAGCTGTTCAGCATCACTTTAGATCAGGGTCAGGCAAAATATGGCCTGCAGGCTGGATCCAGCCAGCCAAGCACTTTCATCCAGCCTGCAGTGCCCACCAGAGAATTGTATCCCGCCCAGCCCTTCCACCCATGAGGGTGGGAGTGAGATGCCCTTGCATATGCACATCCCTAAACATACCCTATTGCATCTTGCTTCCATCCTCATGGGCAGAAGCACCCTGCCCAGCCAGCAGGCAGCTTCCAGGCAGGGCTGCTCCTGCTGCCGCCGGAGGACCTGCTCCATTTCCCCTGCCTTCCAGTCCCTCTGGGCAGCAGCTCGGAAAGAAGCAGGGGGCAAGCTGCAGGTGGGCTGGAGCGTAGGGCTGGCAGCAGTGTGGAGCCTGCACCCAGAGGGTGGTGGTAGCATTGAGCTCAGGTGGGCAGGGTGTGGGTGTGAGGGAGGGTAGGGGTGTGTGGAGATCTGCCCCACACACATTCCCCATATGGTGTGCAGCCCCAGCAGGTGCTGGCAGCAGCAGCAGGTGGAGGTGCTCGGGGCACTCGTGCCTGGTGCAGGCGCTGGTGTCTGGCAGTGCGCAGGTCTGGCAAGCGCTGCACATTGCAATGAGGGGCACAGCGTCTGCTGGGCAATCTCTATTGCTGGTGCTCCCTGCCACGCACACTCAGCCCCCGCATTTGCATGGCATGGGAAGGAAGCCCCATGCACTGGAGCTTGCTGCCTTCCCCGCCAGGGCTGAACAGCATGAAAGGGTAGCCCCAGGTGCCTTACCCTTGCGGGGGTGGGAAAGGCAGCTGGCTCCAGTGCCTGGGGCTTCCCTCATAGTGCAAGTGCAGAGACTGAGCATGTGTGGTGGGGAACACCAGCAATAGAGACTGCCTGGCGGAGGCTGTGTTCCTCACTGTGATGTGCAGCTCTGGCTGGAGCTGCATGCCTCTGGGCATCAGTGCCTGCACTGGGCACAAGCACCCTAAGCGCTTCCACCTGCTGCTGCTGTGCCATGGGCGAAGTGCAGGGGTCCCAGCACTCTCCCTCAGACCCTGCAAATGCCATACACATACACCCTGCCCCCACAACCCCCCAACATACTTTATGCCCCCCACACACAGCCACACACCCAGGCAGATAAGATTTTTTGTTTTTTAAATTAGCTGTCATGGAGCTGATATAAGATTTATTTAAATTTCTGTATTTAGTTGGAGGGAGGTAGTTTGTGGTTTTGGCATAAAATGTTATTCTGGGGAGCACAGTCAATTTCTCATCTTTCCTCCCATGAAATAACAGGTCCAGTGATGGATCTTTTCTGGCTGTTTCTTCCACGGATGGGTATTGCTCTTTTGTCACATTTGAGAAGGGTGAACTTGGAGTGCCATTGAAGGAGAAGCCAGTGATAACTGTCAGGACCCCTACTGTAGCAGAAAAGAAAGTGAAGAAAAGTCAGTCACATAAGGTCTCCCCAGGCTCTCGCCCAGCAGATGGAACTCCTCCAAGCAGAATTGCAGACCCAAGCACTCCCACTCTCCAGCCAAAAATACCAACAGCAGTAGCAACCAGCAAGGACTCTCCTTCAACACCTGTTGGCATAAAAAATATTCCAGCTTTGTCAGAAGAGAGGAAACCTATACAGGCAGCCAGCCAGAGTGCTAAAGTAAACCAGCCAAGAAGGATTACTCTAAATACCTTAGAAGCATGGAGTAAGACACCAAGGTAAGACTTTAATTTCCATTTCAGTTATAAATATGAAGACCAACATAAGATGTATTGTTGCTACTTCTAATATATTGAAGTTGAGAACTACATTTTGTATCCTGGTTGTGGCTTTCGTGACAATTTACCCTTCCAATTTGTTCTCTAGCTGAAAGCTCAACACAACTCCCAGATCTGACTTTATGAGTTGCTATCCAAACTGGTGGGCAGTAGTAAAGTTAAATTCTGCCTTACTCCTTTGTGCATTTATATACAACAGATTTCTATGTCTCTGTCGCAGTTCTTGTATTTAAAGATGTAATCTGGTAGGACTTAATGCCTGTCCTTTATTTTAAGTTAATAAGAGGCTACATTTGGAATGTAGTCGCACAATAAATGTATGACTTCACTCAAGACAACGTGTTTTCTGCATGATATATTTAAATATACCATACAAGTCATTAATAGTAAGTTCTTTAAGGAGTTTGTTAGATGAGCATATAAGGGTTCATTTTAAATTATTCTCTAGGATTAATACAGATTTCCCTAACTTTATGCTGCACATTTATTCCCAAAAAATGGCGCATAACTTGAATTCGCATCAAGGGAACCCACTTTACAATGCAACAAATAGGGATACGTTCCAAGAACTCGACTGTACTGACCCCCAACCCATTTCTTCCACTTTTACAAGACAATTTTGGTACTTGCCAACAGCAGACAATACACACAAGCACAAGACACAATCATAATGGGGATGACAACTACAGAAACACGTGTCGCAGACAACAAGCGAGGAGCACAGATTCACACAGGAGACTATATTTTGGTGCACATCAATTCCATAATGCATTGCACAGAGCAGCTTCCACCACACCGATCACATAAGAGTGAATTCGCACATACAGAACCCACATAAAGCTAGGGAAACCTGTACACAAATATGGAAAGAATATTTACTATATGGATGAGATTTTTGCAAATGTACTTTTTAAAATTTTAGGGGGAGCTTTTTCTCTAAATATACTGGGATAATTTATAAACTGCTGTTAGTGTTAACACGATCCCAATTATCCCAATACTGTCATTTCATAAGAGCAATATATAGGCATTTTGCAAGAATAAAACAATCAGATGTTCAGTTACATCTTTTTGTCATTCTGCCCCATTTGTAATGTTTCTTTTTTTGTGAGACATCTAATGTATTTAAGAGAAGAAAAATACAAACACTAAGATTACAGAGGAAGTGTGTGTTTAAGTCAAGGATCCTGCATTCAATTATTTGTGCATACTAATCCAGGGAAAAGGGTGTCTAATAATTCTTAAAATGCTTCTATTTATAAGCATTACATTTTCTGTTCTATATGTCCCTATGCCATTCATGACCAGAGAAAAAGCATATGTGAAGTAAATATATATCACTGTAGATAATTGCAATTGTACAGTACATTTCAAAGAAGAATGTGGGGAAAATGAGGTTTCTAAAAGCACTGGAAGTATATCTCTCTCTTTCTTTCCCTCCCCCCTTCTCCAGGAGAATAAACTTAATTCCTGTGAGGACAGACGCACCAAACACAACTGCCACAAATCTAGCCCCCACACCTTCCTCTTCAGGAGTAGTTCAACATGGTAAGTAACCTTCTGGTTGTAACATATAGTGAATAGGGGTTCTCCCTACTTGGTCCTTTCTTTCCAGAGGTCATTATGGATTGTTGTCTGATTTCATAAGTATGATGATTTTAGTTCAGGCACAAATACAAAAAATAAGGAACTTGAACTTCCAGCTCACAGATTTGGAAATTGCTACTATTCAGTGGTGCTTTGTTTTTTGTACAGGTGAGTAGAATGCAGGTACCTATATCACAAAGTCATCTATCTACAGTTGATACCAATTGGCACCTGGGCCAGCAGTCTCAGCACTGTAAAATGAATTGGCATGCAGGTTGTCCTCTCCAGATCACTACTTCACTACTGGTGTGTTTTATGGGAGGCAGCTTCCACCACTGCATCTGTGGCATGCTTCTGGTACAGATGAAGAACTTGTATCTACTACTACCAACCTAGAATCTTTCACGAGTACTAAATTCACCTGTAAACTCAGCATAATAAATGTGAAGTCCAACCAAGCATGGTTTTCATGTTTCTCAATATTTCAGAGCCACCATCACCGCCTGATGATCCTGTGCACAATCCTCCAGCCTCTAAACGTCCTAGAACTGAAGAAACGCCTGTCTCTAACTATTGAGGACCAAACCACCTGTACTTCAAACAACTAAAGGCCAAACTTTCAATAAACTCACTCTGAGTACAGTTCAGACAGAATAGCAAATATATTGCCTTCCTTCATAGGATGGCTTCTTGGCAGCTTCTTATAAGTGGTAATGGTACTGGGCATGCAGAGCTGTGAAGGAAGATATCTGCAGAAGAAAAGACTGATTTTTCTACAAAAGCACTGCTTTGCAGTAAGGGAAATAGCTGGAAAACAGCTTTTAACTTTCTCACGCTTTTGAAGAAGGCTTTCTTAATCAAGAAATGTCAGCTGTATGATAAAACAATGTTTTCAGACAATGCGTTTATAGTAGTATCCTATGACAACTGAAGGATCTCCTCTATAATCACCATATTGATATTTTTAAACTGTTAAGTCTTCCAGCAGGTCTGTTTGGCAAAGAGGGATTTCTAAGGACTTATCCATCTTTATAGTGATTTTATGTGGTTAACAGCTGGTTCATGTAGGCATCTGACTTTCAGGTGCCATTTTAAATTTAGCAGTTTGTAGGATAATTCATGCCTTCCAACTTTCATTCTTTATAAGTAGTTAATGCTTACATGCTCTGCATGTATCAGTGATACTGAACTGTATTTTTAACACTGCAGCAGAAGTTGCAAACTTATAATGGGAAGGAATGGGGAATTGAACAGAAACATTCTAAAGATCAGTTATGAGCATTAAACAACACAAACAGATTTCTTAATTTTTAGTTTATATTTTTGTTCAAAAAATAAGAGCAGGCATGAAGTTTTCCATGGCAGCAAAGAAAAATACCTCTTTTGCTATTTTTATCTTAGAGCCTACTCTGTTGGCCAATAAAACACAAAACCAGTGTACATTTATCTTTGTTTATGGATGTTTATTCTAGCACTTAATACCTGTTGCATAGCTCAACAGTATAACCTTGAGTTTGGGGGAAAAAAAAATGAAATCAAAATTCAAATTGTTTGAAAGCTATGTTTAATTGTTATGTTTTCTACATTCAGCTGTGGTGGAGGATTGAAGAGGTGGGAGCCTTTTGGGTAATGTCCATGAGCTATTAAAAAGAAAACTAAGATAATGGTTAAAATATGTGAAAAGTCCTTTTAATTGACTTTGACATGGAAAAAAAAGAGCTTAAAGTGCTATTGATCCCTTGTGATTAAGCTTATACTTTTAACATTTGAAGTGTTGAGGCACGCAGTGAGAAAAAAAAGTTCCAATTTCACATTAAAGCTTTTCTACATACAGTTTTCCATGGCTCTGGTTGTTTCACTGTAAAATGATTTGTTTTTAAAATAAGCAATTTTACTTCATCTTTTTTCATAACTTTCTGAGAAATTGAACTAACACAGGAAAAGTAAAGTCCATGTAAAAATACTTAAGAAATGGTTCATAAAACGGTGTTCGTAAGCAAGAAATTTTACTTAAATGCTTGTCAGCAAGACTTAATGTTAAACAGCTGCTAAGAATACTTTGCTACAAACATTTCTATTGTAGTGTGTTACATACAGGGAGTTTCAAAAATATTGATTACATCACTGCTCTAAAGGCTAGATTCAGGAAGAGACTAAAGTGCCTACATGTTAAGCACTTTTTATGTGCCTGGCCCTGAACCCCAGCAGCAGATGCCTGGGCTCCCTGTACACAGCATGAGGGGAGCTGGGCACCACACTACTGCTAATCACCTCAGCATATTAGTCTGAAGTCAGGTAGAAGGCTGGACAGGGTGGCACTTTTAAAGACTGGTTCAGAGAATTATTAGTCTTCATAGGCAACTATCTATTTCATCAGATGCTGTGCACAGTGAGCCACTTACAGACAGGTGTGTCTGAACTCCTACCCTCTTTCTAGAGCTTAGATCAAGGGTGTCAAATTTATCCTGTGGCCCAGATGAGGGGCATGGGGCTAGTCTGCGGGCTGGCCCCACGTACTACTTGCAGTGTGTACTAGGGCTGTGCGAAGCTTTGGTTGCTGATTCAATTCAGAGGAGATTCAGCTGCTGAATCTTCGAATCCGAATCAAGTTGGAAAACCAATAAAAAGGTCTGAATCGATTTGAAGCCTCCGAATTGATTCAGAAAAGATTTGGAGATTCAGGCAGTCCCTCCTTGCCACCTCGGAAAGCTGGACCCGGACTCTGTGCTGGTAAGTAGGGGGTGGGGGGGAGCTGGAGGAGGGGGGTGTGACAGCTGAAATTATGTCTGTGATAAAAGTGCTTGCTGAAAGCTCTGCGAAAATTAGACCAAGTGTTTTGTTTTTTTTTTGTCATTTGTTCAGATATTAAGCTATATGTTGTTGTTAAGAGCCTAATTAAAGTAAAAAATGTAGTGAGGCCTTGTATGTAGTAAGGCCTAGTAAATTTAGCAAAGCCTTGAAGTAGTAGGCCTTGTGGCATAGTAAAAATTAACCTTATCAGAAGAATGCAAGGCTTGTACTGCTATTGGTCAGTCCTAAGAATAATTATAATTGGAGAATCTGGATGGCTGTAAGTTACCAGCATAGGTCAGAAGTTATAAATTGACTGGCACATCCGGAAATCATTTGGAAGGAAGATGCAGCTCTGTGAAAGAAACTACTAAGTAGCTGCTGACCTGGATCAGTGGGCCAGTGGATCTTGAGGAGCCCAAGGACTGAATACCAGGGTCCTTCCCGGTACCCCTTAGTGCTGATCGGGGACACCTGACTTTGCTGAGCTTTGTGGAAAAAGAACTTGTCGTGCATCAGAGGACTGCCAATAAGTTGCCGATTTGTGAATTGTTATTGTCTGTCCATTGTAGCCTTATTATTTACACGTAGTTGTGTGTTTTAAGTCAATAAACCTTTCTTACCTTTTTACCCCCCCACCATCCTCTCACTCCTGACCCCTCCGTAGGCGGCTGGGACAGGGGGAGGGCCCCATTCCCTGCCTGCTTCCCCAGCCCCTAATGTGTACTAGGGCCGTGCGAAGCTTCAGTTGTTGATTCAATTTGGAGGAGATTCGGCCCGATTCAGTAACCTGATCTTTGAATCAAATCAGGAGACCAGTCCCCTGCCTGCGTCCCCTGAGCACCTTCCGACCCCTGCTCGCTTTCCCAGACCTGTCAATGGCTGCCCTGCCTGGCCCCAGTGTCCCAGTGCTTTTTAAAGCCCCACACTCACCGGCTGCTGCAGTGGCTGTCTGGGCCTCTGGGGGCTTGTGGCAGAGCCCCATCATGCAACATGGGGCAGCGAGGATC